CTGAGAAGCGCGAGTACAGCATCTGACTGATAAGGAAGATGTTGGAGCAGAGAGCAGACTGGAGCATGATGGGCATGTTGGAGGTGTAGAAGAGGCGGACGGGGTACGAGCCGCGCATACCACGCTGGCGGGAAGACTTGACGGGGATCTCAACACGGAAGCCCTGCAGGTAGATGACAGCGGCGAAAACAAGAAGAGTAGCCAGGAGGTTCATGACGTTGGGCAGGTTCTGGCGGTAGAACGCCTCGTATAGGGCGCGCTGCTTATCGGGCCAGGTCAGGAGAAGGTGGAACAGAGCGATAATAGCACCCTCGAACTCGGGGCCACGGCCGGTGTTGATGGTCGTGGGGGAGAACGCCTTCCAGACAATCGACTCGCAAATGTTGGTGGCAATGAACAGGGAGATACCGCTGCCGAGGCCGTAGCCCTTCTGGAGGAGCTCGTCGAGCAGAATAACAACAAGACCAGCCACAACCAGCTGGACAATCAGGAGAACACAGATACCGGCACCGAGGTCACTGGGCTGGCCGTAGAGACCAGTCAGGACGTAAACACAGGCCTGGCCGAAGGAGAGAATGATAGCGAAGAGCTTCTGAGCGGTCTGGTAGAGCTCGCGGTCGGTCTTCAAGTCGAGGTTGACATCGATGAGGTGGGTACCGGCAAGGAGCTGAAGAACGAGAGAAATATCAGTAAAATGACCGCGAAACATGAGAGGGGAATGCTTTGGAATTGCATACCTGGAAGACCATGCCAGAGGAGATAATAGGGGTGATACCCAGCTCCATCAGAGTACCCCGGTTACTAGCCAGCATCATCCGGAGCCAGTACAGGGGGTCCGAAGTGTCGGAGGAGACAATGCCGTAAAGAGGCATCTGACTCATGACCAGGAAGATCATCAAAGTCAACTATAACGTAATTATATTAGGATCCCAAGTCGACCTTGCACGGAAAGTGTGGATTTAGGGCGACATACACCAGTCCACATCAACTTCTGGTTGAAGGGCACCTTAGTCTCAGGAGCTGCCACCTCCGGGAGGAGGGGCGTAAAGGGCTTGATCAAGTCAAGGAAGCGTACTATATTCCTCCATCAGCATTTGACGATCAATTGAGGCCGATTCGAGACGGATTGTCGCGACCGCGTGCCAGACGATTCGGGGACTCACGGCCGCTCATGGTGGCTATCTTCCTCCCAATCCGTTAAAGAAGAAAAGAAAGCTGGAGTCGAAAACCAGCTAAAGGAATGGAAGTGAAATATTAAGAGAAAATAAAACAAAAGGAGAAAGGTGAAGTTGTCGGGAAGATGGGGGGAGGAGGGAAGAAGAAGACAGAAGAGGTTCGCTGGCCACTTTTCGCTTCCGCGCTAATTAAGGCCACTTGGTCTTCGCCGCAACAACCAACTTGGTGACTCAACCAAATAAGTAATGGGATACTTGGAGATAATTGCACTAATCTGAGCTTCAATTTAATTCTCCAGCACTTTCTTTTTCCTGCTATTCTTCCAAGTACGATGTGTTGTTGCACCCTCAGAACAGGGCTCCAAGCTATCCCCACACTCCAGAGGCCACGGTACTAACTACGCGATCGGGACAGCTAGGGGTCTACAACATATGGGGTAATTATTGGGAATAATATTGGTATCCAAAACCAAAGTAAATATTCCAGCGGCTTTGGTTCTCATAAATATATGCTGGCATTCTATAAAGAGTATAATATTGCCAAAAATAAAATCTAGTGTCAAGGTCCAACGAGGCCCAGACAGTCATCAATGACCACCTCGAGCTCTCCCAATCGTGTCTTCAGGCCCCGGTTCTCTTCTTGCAGAACACCCATGACACTCCATGCCTCGGAAGCGGGCACGCCGTAGCAGTTGTTGCAATTAGACCCATTGCCGTTGCCACCGGAGAAAGAGCTACCTAAACGCGTTGAAGCAAGACCCTTCAACACCCGATCATATGCTGATGGGCGGGCGGGCGGTGGTGCACTCGTGACCGCGACCAGATTCTTCTGAATTGTAGGTGTTGGGATCGGGCCCGTTGGCGTAGACAGGGCGATCTGCGACATGTTGGGAGACGGTGCTGTCAGCATAGAGGTGGGAGACTCGACGCCCTCACGATGCGAGAAGACGCTATCCGCTACGCTCTCGTCACCGGATTCGAAGCCCGAGTCGCTGGTGAAGGTGCTGTGGCTAGCACGCTTGCCTCCACGCCGAGGAGTTTGGAGCTCCATGGAAGGCACGTCATCATCTGGATGCACGATACGCATTGTATCACTGCGACTGCGGGATTCCTCCGTCTTTCGCAGTTGTCTCTCTTGCTCCAATTCCTCGGCCATGGCCTGCATGGCTTTTTCCTGATCAAGCACCTTGGCGGCCATGCCGTCCAGCTGCATCTTGAGGTGATCGACTCTGGCGCGAGTCTCTTCGAGCTCCTGCTGATTTTCGTTCTTGTCTGCCAATGCTTGGTGCATGGCGAAGGTGCGCTGCTTATAGGCATCCTGCATGCGTCGTAGCACTTTGTCGGCATGATCTCGTAGGGCATCCAGTGCCTCATCGTTCGTATCATGGGTCTCGGGTAGTGAGAGAGCGGCAGTGATGTCCAGGTTCAAAAACTCATCATCGGCTGGTTCCGGGAAGTTAGGTCTGCTTGGTTGTCGACGCAGGCCGAAGAATGAAAACCGATTCGTCGGGGTCGAGTTCTGCCTTGTATGTGACATGGATGTTGGAGTTGGGCGGGAGTTCAATCCGGTCACATCTGAGGAACCGTTGGGACCCATTTTCAGTCCCAACTCGACTGGATCTGATTTCCCCTGGAACCAATCTGACAAGACCCTGGCTCTTGCTTCAAGCTTCTTCTTCGGGAAGGTTTCCGTCCAAGTGGTATTCTTCGGGCCTGATATCGTGTCGCTGGTACCTTGTTCAAAGAGTGGGGGTCTTGCAATATATTCAGTATTTGCCCGACGGTGTGAAGGCGGATTGTTCAAGTGATTTCGCGAGGTTGGATGGATTGCCGATCTTGGGGGCGTCAAGGCAATGGTCTCGTGAGATTGCGTGCCATTGGAATGCAGGGTGACAGGTGCATGAGAGAGATCGGGAGACATGTTCTGAGGGGTTATTTCGACAGAACAAAGCAGACAGGATGGAAATGCCACGTCGGTTCAGGCCCAATGTGGCGTTGATGTGCAACCTGGGGGGTGATTTGTAGCAGGGGAGGTATGAAGGCCGATCAAGGACAAAACAAGAGACCCCTGGGATATGTTCAAGGTCAAACGAACAAGGGTATAGGTAGTTTCAATAAAGTGTTCGTGTTTCAAAGTGTTGAGACTTAATTTTTTTTAGAATTTGAAACCAAAAGAGACCACAAGAACTGGCGACAGGAAAACAAGAGGCTGGGGAGGAAATAGCGGTGGCTGAACGGCCTGGAGCTCTCTCCACCTCCATGATCCACCACACCTTCCTTTTCCAATCTGATTAATTATAGCAAATTAGCATTGCCTCCCACTAGACTTCTTTCGAGTTTGATACCGTCATCATCTATTTTGCCGCTCCCGCTGTGCATGGTTTCAGCTGCACGAGGATCTGCGTCATCGCACGTTTTCTGCAAACTCCCAGCGTCATGGCTCCCAGTCTGAAGCATTTATCCAATGCCCTGGCAACGCCCTACCAACTGTCCAAATCTTCATCCTCCATCGACAATGTCCCATCTGACCTCGAAACCTCCATTCGTTGTGCGGGCGCCCAGCTCACTCAAACTGCCGGGGTTCTCCTACACCTGTCACAAGATATAATTGCCCAGGCAGTCGTGATCTTCACGCGTTTTTGGCTTGGCGCTGACGGGGGTAGCTTGCGAATCTACTCAGTCAAGGTAAGTCCAGCTCCAAGAATTCTAAATATTTATTCTGATCTGATCCACTAACCGGAGCAGGATGTATCCGCCGCAGCCTTATACCTGACGGCTAAGCTTTCCTTCCAACCAACCTCTCCACGTTCCGTCCTCAATGTCTACACATTTCTCCTGTCGCAAGATGCATCACCCTTATGGTTTGTGAGGCAGAGCGGGGCTCCTGAAACCCCTCCATCTCCCGAAACGTACATCCTTTCCGAGGGAGGCTACCAGTCCGCCCGGCTAGTCCTTCTCCGCACCGAAACGGTTATCCTCCGTACTCTCGGCTTTGATACACATGTCGCGCTGCCACACACCATCGCTTTGACATACCTTCAAACTTTGGGTGTGACAAAGCCCGCTGTGGCTCAACGGGTCATCCAGCACCTCAATGCGGCGCTGCTCTCACCGCAGCTTCTTTATGTCACCCACCAACCAAGTGCCCTGGCTGTGGCTGCCATCTACCTAGCTTCACGCGAGGAAGAGGTCAAGCTTGTGGATGGCGAGTGGTGGGAAGTCTTTGATGTCGATCGTGAAGAGCTGGGCTTTTTGGTTGTAGGCATGAAAAGTACAGAAGGTTTTATGCGAGCAGAGGTCAATCGGTGGAATAGCAGAGCTATCCCAATGGTAGTAGATGAAGTGGATGCCGAAATTGAGCGGAGGCGAATGATGGAGGAGGGTGAATGAATGTGCTTCGATCTTTGCCGAGAACATCCGATTCCAAGATCAAAGGTTTACTGGGAAGGATGTTCTGGTAGAAGCTAGCAAGCTATCTACTAAATCATCTACTGCGTAGTGACAGGAATGCTGCCGATCAACTGAAGGCGTAACCGCCAGATGGCCTGCAAGACCCTGCTCCACCCAGAAGGAATAGCAGCACCCAACAAATGACGGCCTCGTCTCTGCGGATGTGGCCGAATATGCGATCAGAGGATTAGCTGTTTCCACAGCATTGGCCAATCGCCAGGTTCCGCGGCCTGTCCAGCCGAACCTATATGTGACATACCATATTTTCTCTCTTGCGGCCGTAAGAGTTAAAGTAGATGTACGAATGCTATTCCAAACTGATAAGATAGCTAGTTAAATTGCTGATCATAACTGAATGACATAGATATTTCCACCCTACTCCATATGCTCCGCTCGAGAAACACCCTCAACAGCCTGGTGGTTGTGTCCTCCAATAGGCGCTCCACATTCAGAACATCTTGCTAGCTGCATGGGCATACCACATTCGCTAATGGCAAACTGAAAAAGAAAGACACAAAATTTTAGTTTTGTATCTCGCTAAGAAGGCTTCGAATATTCCGCAAATTCAACTCACAGGATGTCTGTTGATACAATTGTACCGGTGCCCAAAATCAGTCGCCATCCCTCCTCGCCCGCCAATTTCCAACAAATGAATCAACAGAGAAACAATCCAAGATGGAAGGATGGGTGATGACTTTGAGAAACGGCTTCCATATATAGTTACAATGGGACTCTCGAACGATAATCCTGCTTCGAAGTACTGTTCTTAACGGGGGGGAAAAATATATTTGTCTTAGTCTAGGAATTGGACAGATATAAGTATGGCGTTCGCTCTCCCTCTGTTAGGTAAATACCTAGTTCTTCGTACATGATACATAAGTTTTTACATGGTCAAGATACAGATTTTCTCTGGTGAAATCAATAGAGATTTCAAAAGAAATGGAAGAACATTGAATTGGAATAGTTCACGAATTGTGTGTTTGTACAGGCTCCCAATGTCGGATCTTTCTTTATTTCCAAGGTTTGGAGTAAGGAAGAAGCCACTAGTCGCTAGGGAATATCGCACATATTGCACATCCTACATAGCTCTTCAGCCTAAAACCATCTAGGCATCCAAATAGAAGGCTATGACTTCAGAGGGTTAAAGCTCTTCGGTTATAAATTTATTAATGAAGACCCACGTCCTTTTCTCATATGGTATAGCATGTCAATGTAGTATCCATGCCAGTTCATCTTGGATTGACAATCCTTGTGGAAGATATATATCTCTAGTATTGGTTCTAACCTTGGAATAAAATAACGTTCTTATATAATCACATAGGTACCATCACGTGCAACCATATCAGTTCAAAATGACGCTCACGCGGGGCGGATCATGTGCTCCACCGCTTATCATTTACCCTCCCCCCGCCGCTTCTCTTGTATCTCTTTCTTCATACTGACCTGTGAAACACCATGAATATCCTACACTCTACACTGTCAACTTGGCGGGACCGCCTGGCCCCAGTATCACGCACTTCCACCTTCCGCAACACTGGCCAAATCACTCCAGAGGAGTTTGTTCTCGCCGGAGATTATCTAGTCTACAAGTTCCCCACATGGTCATGGGCCGACGCATCGAGTCCGGCAAAACGGGTATCCTACCTTCCAGATGGCAAGCAGTTCCTGGTTACACGAGGGGTGCCATGTCATCGGAGACTGAACGACAACTTTGCCGGAGATGCAGGCCTGGAGGATGAAATTGTGAGGGATTTCCTCTTAGGGGGTGATGGCGGTGAAGGCACAGCAGCCGATGGTGGAGAGGATGGATGGTTGCGGACTGGCGGTGGCCGCGACGCTGGGGCAGACCATGATAAACAAGAAGCTCGGATTCGTGACGTGCGAACCGTTGATGAATCCGGGAATCTGGGCGAGCAGGAGGAGGATGATGATATCCCCGATATGGAGGATGAAGACGATGATGAGGAAGCCATCATCAGAGAGACAGATGATCAGTCAGGAACACAGTGAGTGCCATTTCTCTGTCTCCAGTTTCACCTTTATCTCCTTTTTCTAACCTGTGACTCGTTATCGCTCCAGATCTCTCCGCACTTATACCCTTTACATTACCTACTCAAACTTCTACCGCACACCTCGCCTCTACCTGTCCGGCTATTTGTCGGCATCTGAACCGCTTCCGCCACATCTAATGATGGAGGATATCGTCGGTGACTACAAAGACAAGACCGTGACGCTAGAGGACTTTCCATGGTTTGAGGGTAGTGTCAAGATGGCCAGTGTACACCCATGTCGCCATGCCTCTGTGATGAAGACACTTTTGGATCGTGCCGATGCCGCACTCAAGCTCCGCCGCGACAAGCTCAAGCAAACGCAATCACGCGAAGAAGCGAACCGCGTTCTCCGGGCAGGCGGCGGGCTGGAGGGCTTGGTGGATGAGACAAAGAATCTGTCCCTCGGGGACTCCCACCACGCACAACCTAGCGGGGACGAGTGGGAGATGCTGCAACATGATGAGGAAGAACAGGTCGCCATCCGAGTAGACCAGTACCTGGTTGTGTTCCTCAAGTTCATTGCCAGTGTGACGCCGGGCATTGAGCACGACTTTACGATGGGAGTATAATCTCTTTGGATTCGATCCAGACTTGTCTTATCCGATCCTAACTTCCCGGGCAGCTATATGCCTCGACCAAGGCTGGGATCTGGCGACCTACTCCCTTGCTCTTGATTTTCGAGATGTGATATGCACGACATGACATGAGTTTGGCGTTAATCTGCTTATGGGAGTACGGATAATCTCCCTTCCCCCTTCCCCGGGTTGCTTTTGCTTTGTATTATCTTCGGTGGCCTTGGGAAGTTTCCCATGGCAAATTTACTACGATCTGTAAAGATTCCAGTGTAGACATATCGCGTGGCGAGATCATACATAGCCCCTAGTATTTCCTGAGACCGGGGGTTTTGAAACTTGAGCTACGCGCTAGTTTTGCCCCCAATTAATGAATGTACGAACTATTATCTCCCCGGGTATGCAAATGCCTTGGTAATACCAAAAGGGCACTCAAGGACCAAAATATTCATGTGTGCCATGTATGATTTCTTGGGCTGCAAAAGTTGGGTTGCTCCGAGCATGTATCTAGGTACAGGTTCCCTCAGCTCCTTTCCCAACTCACACTGTTCCTTTTCTTTTTAAATTTTGAGATCAGTCATTTTCTCCCAAAATTCTTCTCTTTGAAGGTAACCTCAAGCAATGGAAAACCCTGTTAGGAAGTCCATCAAGCAGGAAAAAGGTCGATGAAAATACATGGCTCATCGAACCCTCGCCGATGCTTGGTCCACTCTCGATGACAAGATTTGCGAAACCCTTGAATGCTGGAAAAGTGATATACTAGGAGGCGTGGATGGGAAAAATATTCCCGAGCAATATCTTGATCCGGGGGAGTTGATAGTAGGCCTGGACGTGTTTTATATCTTTATGTTGCAATACTTGCCTACATGAATAGTCTGAACGATTTCACAAGTAGAGGCATAGGAATATTGCGGAGGCAAAGGTGAACATTACTATATCTACTAGTACTTGAAGAATCGGAAGTATATCAAAGTAGTATATTCTAATTGAGAGTAATAATATCAAAACGCGCAAATAACAAGTAACAGTAAACCACATAGGAACTCCGAAGAGTGCAAAGCACACGTGGACGCCCAAAGTGAACATAATAAACAACCATCCGCAGTAGTTAGACAATAGGCAAAAAGGAGTAAGTTATAAAGCTCGGCCCTCACGAATGATCACAGAAGATACAGATAATCTGGGGGTGAGTACACCAGCCGATGACGACAAATTGTAAAGGAAAAAAGTAGACAAGGAAGAATATAGGTGGAGATACAAAGAGATACACAGGTCCGATCAATCATTAGATAGACCAAGCACGTCGCTGACAGGTGCATGGTCTAGCCGGGTCATTTTCGCCATTTTTCATCGTGTTCGGTAAATGTAGAAGGTGAAGCCGAGGCTTTACTGGAAGAAAGCCACGATAATGGGAAGAGCCACTGCGAGGGCGGATCCGGGGACCAGAGATGAGCCGGCATTGAAGACGGACACGACGGGAACAGAAGGAACAGCGGAAGGTGAGGCCGATGCAGTGGGCACGGCGTGGTGGATCAGAGGGGTGGAGGACTGGGCGGGGGCGATAGGTGCCCAGGCGGCCGGGACAGTGGTGAGAGGGCCGGAGATGGGGGTGGTGAAGGTGGGAGGGAGGATGGTGGGGACACTAGTCCAAGTAGGAGGGTGGGCAGTCTCAATGGGAGGAGGGTTGGAAGTAGTAGTAGGCACAACAACGGGGGGAGGGTTGGAAGTGGTAGTAGGCACGACGACAACGGCAGGAGGCTCAGGGCATGGATAGCCGTCCTGGTGGTGGTGCTCGCCATTGCCGACGTTGACGCCAGGGCCGCTGGGGATACCAACGTTAACACCGGCGCCGGCGCTGTGGTCATCGCCTGAGCCAGGGCCGCAGGGACCGCGGTGAGAGTCGAGGAATCCGGCGCCAACGTTCACAGAGGGACCGCCGGGGATGCCGACATTGACGCCGCTGCCGGCGGAGGTCTCGCTGTTGCCTGGGCCCTGGTTGGTGGTCTCAGGGCCGTGGTTGATGATCTCCGGGAATGGGGGAGCGGGCACCTGAGGATCAGAGAGGACGGCAGCAGGGCTGAGGGCAAGGACGAGGCACATGAGACCGGAGAAGTTGATAGTAGTGGAGAACATTGTTGCGGTAGTGTTGATTTTGCTGATTGCTTTGCAAGAGAGGAAGGTAGAAGTTGTTGATTAAATGAATCCGAAGATTGAAATTATAAATTGATTGAAAGAGAGTTGGAAAGAGAGAGAAGAGTGAATGACTGTTTAGAGACTGATGATTGATGAAGAACAGAATGTGAGGCGTGAACAATGATCCTTATGTACTTTTTGGCACCCACCCAAAGTATACACTTGAACAGTATCATGGGGAGAGCCAAGGGCTCTGTCCAAGACCAGATAGAACCAGATAGTGAGATTTCTGCAAGGCACGAACTAGTCCTTGGGGGCACTCATCTTAAAAAAGCCACAAGGGCAGTGATCTGCAAGGCACAAAGCCAACGGCCACTACCGGGAAAGAAATCATGAGAGACATCAGGTCTTAAGGGGTCTGGAACTAAGGAATTGTTGGAGATTAGGGCATCCAAGCAGCATGGTTCGATAGTAACGAGCTGCAGCTCTACCGAGAGACTAGATGTGCCCTGGCGAGCAGTGTAAAAGTTTATCCACGAGCCTTCCCCAAGTATCCGAGCTGTCGTGGCTCAGCTAGGACAGGATTGGCGGGATTTTCAGTATATGGGACGCAGATGGAGTGTGCTTTGGGGGATAGGAAAACACGTGTGGCCAAATGGGGAAGCAAAGTTGTATGGATGCAAGGGATAGTAGCCAATAAGGCACAGAGACACTAAGATCCCTCTCTACAAGAAACTTTCCAAGAGCCAATCAGGGCATTGGACTAATATTGAATGCATATACATCACACGCAAGGAACTCGAACACAGGCGAGTCCATATGCAACTTGCTAGGGCTGTTGGCCGTTGCCTGTCAAGTCGAGCAGGTCGCCCCAAAAACGAAGACTGTCCTGAAATAAATTTGAAACAAATGAAACAAATGAAACAAATGAGGTTGTATTGCACATATCGGCATATATCATAATCTCGTAAGGTATTTCGCCAGAAGGGAGAACAGAAGATAAAAAAAGGGGGACAGCATCAAGAGCATATGCTGCTCCTTGAAAAGAAGAAAAAAAACATAAAGATATTCACGATAGACATAGTAGGGCCTATCTCAACACACAGATCACAAAAATCTAAGTGTATATGGGAAATATATGTTTCCTACACTTGACCCGAGTTCGATATCCCAAATGCAGTGCCAAAATTAGTTGATTTCTTGAATTTGATTTCAAGTTCTTGCTCGCCTTGCCGAGGGAATTCAGACTCAGAATCACTCTCATTGGGATCAGCTGATTCAACTGACCTGCCTAGAATATTGTTCGCTTGAACAAGGAGTTTCTGATCCAGTTCGCTCAAAAAGCTGGAGTCGTGGTCCTCATCATTAATCAGACCGAGGGGCCCCGTGAGAGCGGGGTCGTCTGGCACATCCGGAAAGTAGGAGATATTATTTTCGGCGGGTTGATGAACATTCGCCACGGGGGCAAGAGGGGCCTCCTCCATCTGGGAGCCAACCTCGAGGGGAGTCCCCTCCTGGGTGGACCGACTATCATCAGCGTCGATGATCGCCATCGGGGTGTGACCTGCATGACGGAGCAAGTTCTCATTGGGCGGGCCAAGCTCTGATAGCTTCAATTTGAGACTGTTTCGATGTTCCATGATAGGCCTTGCAGCGGTTGAAGGGGCAGCTCCAGGGGTTACTAGGGGCGACGGGGAGGGTGGGGTGATCACTCGAGCTACCACGGCGGGTGGCAGCGCCGTGGACTTAAGCGTGATACCATCCAGGGTGCTGTCAAGCTTTTCGATCGGCACCGGCTGACTCACAGGCGCTCCAGAAGGGTCTACTAGTCGCGATTGGGGTGAAAGAGCCCGATCAAGGGATGGCGGATTCCCACTTTCAGAGATCGGCGAGAGATAGCTCCGGTCTGGAGATTCATGGTCGAAGAACACCCTTGTTGGCCGATTGCCTGGACTTGGTCCCTCCCACACTTGAGCCGCAAAGCCATTTGTGTTATACTGCGATACTCCACCTCCAAGCACGAGTTTGGCCGCTTCAGGTCCCAATTGACTTGTTCTGTTCCCTTGGCTTTTCACAAACACCTCCAGCTCAACGATTTTCGATCGTAACAGGGCCCGTTCTTTCTCCCACAACCGGCGCTCCTGCGCAAACAATTCCCTTTCCGTCTCGAAGTTCAGCCGTTGACTCTGGAGAAGCGCCCGCGATTGGTCGATATAGGAAGTATCCATAGTGGACGAATTCACCAACACCGAGTCTTGGAACGCTGTTCGGCCGTAGCCTGAAATTACAGGAGGAAATGTGGCTGAAACGGATTTTGTGCGACGGGTTGGTGTTTCGGTCGGAGAAAAGCGTACTTCCTTGTAGAGACTTCCGTGACCGTCTAGTAATTTGGTAGGCTTCATGGTGTCTGAGATTTGATTTTCTCTCGATAACGAGCGCAAGTCGGCAGATAAGGGTATATTAGGGATCGAGACGATAGTAACGTGGACGATAATCACAATAGTGCCCAACCTGCAGTGTGGCTGTACACGTCAAGACCGGTGGAGTTCCTAGAAGCGGTCAATGAGCTCACAACACTTGGCCATCTAATATGCCGGAATTTCATGCGAGGTTCCCGATACAGCACATGTCAAGCCTCGGGTCCGCGTTCGAGGATGAATGGATGCTGGTTGGGCTTAGGATTTGGGTAGCTTTTTCAGGTTTCCAAGTAAGGAGAGAATGAGAGTAGAGAAGAAAGAGGTCAAATATACTAAATTGAACCCCACAAATTCCGGGGAAATGAGGAGGGTTACATGAGAAAAGCAAAGGGAAGGGGAAAAGAAGAGACGCATCTGACCACAGCGTATGACGTCAAAGGCCTCTGGTAGGAAATGTCAATAAGATGGACAAAGTAACAAAGTAACAAAGTAGGAAAATCTGATATATATCAGATATATCAAATATTTATTATCCTGACTTGTATTATAGATCATCTATGTGTGTAAATATATAACCGAAAAGCACAATATATCCCGTTAATATATGTTGTATATCTAGAATTCACCTCTGTACTGTATTAGGGGAATCAACGAGAAGGAAGTAAAAAAGCAGCCCGGACGCCTTAATCCCGCCATTTACGCCAAATGATGTGCCACATTAAAATGTTCAATATGCACTTGACTGGTATAATGCGCGCTCAGACATTATGACGCAGAGCAGGGCTAGCCTGCCAAAAGAAAACTCGATGTCGAACCAGATCAGCCGAGGGTCGCAATGCTAAAAGATGCAAAAGCAAAAAAACAAGAAAGAAAGAAAAGAAAGAAAAGACGAAAAAAAAAAAAAAAAAAAGAAAAGGATATAGAAAAGAAGAGAAACACCAAAATAAAGGGAAAGGGGAAAAGCCCTCAGCAAACAGACGAGGCAGGCCGGACCCGACTTGGCGTAACCAAGTTCTTCTTGAAATCCAAAGACCAAGCCGAACACCCCTTAATCGACCGACGACTATCTGGCTGTCTCAACGGCGAACGACTCCGCCAAACAAACTGCTGAGCCTCATCAAGCAGATGATGATCACCATTCGGCAGCGGATAGAAGCTCACATCCTTACACCAAGTGCCGAAGCGCGTAGCAAGATCAAACACCCCTCGGGCCGTGAGATCCCGACCACCCACGTTCGCAGACGGATAATAGTAGCGCGGATCGAGGTAAAGCAGCACACTATTCCAGAGCGGAAGTTTCTCGGACAGAAGCCGTGCGGCGGCCTCGTATTGTTTTAGCGTGCGTTTCGGCACGCCGGTCTGCGTGTGTACAAAGAAGAAGACCTCGAAGCCGACGCTGCGGATGCGGGCACGGGCGGTTGCGCTGAGCGTATCCAGGAAGTCGGCTAGTCGGTCGAGATTGAAGGAGTTGCGGAGGAAGAGGGTGTGTGTTGAGTAGAGGTAGTCTTCGGCTTCGTCGTGGAGTTGCCGGTTCACCGCGAGTAACTTGCGCGCGGTGCCGTCCTCGCCAACCCAGTGCGGACTCATTGATAATGCTCGGTATTGACCGCGGGCTGTGAAGGTGTTGCCGTGATCGCCTAGCACGATCATCGGTTTGCTGACTAGATACTCGTTTGGTACGTCCAGTGCATATTCGTATATCTTGAGACGGAGTTCGGCGGGGAGTTGGAGGAGCCGTGATGGTGATATCGATGTGGGGAGATCTGGCTTCATATCTGCTTCCCTACTTTCTAGATGCGCTAGAAGAAAGGTCAATACGTGAAATCTTGAGCTTGCAAAATGCGGCTGTTAATGCCGTTTAAAAGGCAGTGGTACCACCCGGGTGTATAGATGTGTCGCCACCGTCAGAAAATTTTCGATCAGAAAAAAGTCAATGCTGAACCAAAATAGCTATCTGTACTCCTAGATGACCTTGCATAATATACAAGTCTAAAGCATCAGACCATGTCGACCCATTATAAGGAGTGCCGAGTATCTGATCTAGAGGTATCACACTGCATATACTTCACCGTATGTAGAAGTTCAACCTTGGAATGTTCAAGTCATTAGTTACATTAAACTTACATATGTACCTAGGTAGTTACACTAGAGGTAATTACCCCTGGGTTCCTGGATTCCTAGATTCCTGGACCATGGATATATTCAATAAAAGTTTTTTTTCTGCGATAACCTCTTAAATGGTATGATTGTCCTTGAGGACCCACGCATTAGTGGATTCTATGTATAGAGAGGTCGTTTTGAAGATAGTAATGCCAAGCAATGTTGAGGACCAATCTACTTGCGCTCGAGTAACATGCCATGGACGCATATTGTAAGATGCAGATTGTAAGTCCAGTATAATAGGTAATACAAAGCTGCCATTTATTGTGACGTATAGTAGAAGTACCTGGTAGGTCTATTTGTAGTGAAGCCTGCCCACCTTTGATCCCGTGGATAGAGACGTCATCGCAGATATCTTTCTCGCTTCTCGGCAGCGCATTCAAATATCAGTTATTCAACAATACTAAACTAACAAGATCAAAGATATCACTTTAACAAGTACATCGAAAGCCGATTGAATTATCCACTCCGGTCAAGTAAGGGAAAAACAAAAAACAAAAACAAAGACAAAAACCGAGTCTCCAAAAATTCAAGATGCAGTATATATTCGCTATGGAAAATTGTTCGAAAATCGTGGGAACAATCAAGTTCCTCACTTGATCATCGCTGTCTATACACACCCAGCGACCAAGCTGCCCGTAGAACAGCCAGACCCCAAGCCATGCCGATACTATCTCGTAAGACATTCAATTTGCTACCCTTGACCTCCCTCCATCCCACAGGCACTTCAGCCACAGGGATCCGAGCGAATTCAGCCAGCATGAGCATCTCAACATCGAAGATCCAGCCCTCGGAATGCATATACGGCACAATATAAGGCAACGCACTGCGGGAGAACAGCTTGAATCCGCACTGCGTATCCTTGATAGTAGCCGTTTTAGGGGGTGTCATGAGCCATAGGATCAAATGGAACGAATGCATCAGGAAGTTTCGAAGCTTGGATCGCTATCGAGCAGAGTCAGCAATCAACCTCACAAAACATCCAATCACCCAGATATCAAATATCATACCTTAACCACAGCCTCACTACCAACCATATGCGCCCGCGACCCAACAGCAACCGCCCGCCCCTTCGAATCCTCCACATCCCGACAAGCCCCAACAAGCTTACCGAGATCAGTGAACTTGCTCGCCCCATCCGCATCCGCAAAGACAACATACTGCCCACGGACATGGCGCATACCGTGCGTGACCGCACCGCCCTTGCCGCGGTTATGAGTCAAGTTCACGACGCGGATCGTGCCAGGCGGGATATGGACGCCCTCCGCAGCCTGCGGTGTCCATGGACCCGCGTGTCCCTTGGGGTGTAGAGAGAGCTGGTGGTCACGCGCGAACCGGAATGCCACTTCCTCCGTGCGGTCTGTCGACCCGTCCGAGACGAGGATGATCTCCCAGCCGCGGTCTGAAGTGGAGCCTGCGGCGCCACTGGTGGTATCCTCGTTCGGCTTGCGCTTGCGCATTGAGCGCGTCTCCCTTGTACTTGGGCTGCTGGCCCTGGCGATCGCGCTGGCTGTGTTCCCATACATGCTCTCCAGGTAGTTGACGGCTTCTTCCAGCATTCCGGTTAACCGGTCTTCCTCATTATAGGCTGGTACTACGACGGACATGAATAGCTCGGCTGGTGCGATAGTGTGGGCCGTGATGGCTTTATCGGTGCTCTTTTTGGCGTCTGGGCTTTCGAGCCAGCAGGGTAGGGGCTCGGGGTCTGTCAGGGATCCATCTTTGGCGAGGGTTCTATACCTCTTTTCTTCTGGTAGAGGTTCTCGTGGGACTGGCGCAACGAAAAATATAAATAATGAGAACTAGATGATTGAGAGAAGAATTGATAGGTCAGTAACTTGTAACTAGGGCTGCACGTGTCTGGAGCGCGCGATCTGGCTGGTACAAGCGGACGGGGAAAGTGGACTCACCAGGACAAATAGTCCTAGCAATGTGGCTAGGGCAGCAATGAGTAAGATCTGAACTGGGATTTCCACCGCAGTGTTGACGCATTGGCGACAGATCTCGCCCCAAGCTGCCGCCATTTTGAAGAGTGACGAGCTGGTCGTCAGATGCGGAGGCGGAATGGGGAGACGGTAGTGATGCCGGAAGGGATAAGGCAAGCACTTAAGTCCGAGAGAGAAAGTGTTTATTCATAGAGGTAAGGCAGAATGATCCTCGCCATTGAAGAAGGAGAGGGAGAGAGACGGTAGAAGGGAGGGGAGGAATGTTGTTAGTTGATAATCGCCAGCTTGGCCTTTTATCGGCAACACGCAAGCCGATACGGAATAGATCCACCTCCGGGAGCCACGGTGCGTAAGACATTATATGATCCTATGTCTTACTATTTTGTTAAGTGGTATAATTTATTTTCTTATACATACATGTATGCGTTCTTTTACAGTTCATGTATACTGTAGCTCATTTACCTGCATACGCGTATACACATGTCTATACGCGTTTAACCTCCGGTCACATAGATCGGTCAGCTCTTGGAGTGAACATGGTCGCAGATTCTTGCTCCATCAAATAGCGCGGCTCCCTCAGAGTGTTCTTCAGCGGTCAAAGCTAGAGGACTGTCTCTAGCAAAGGATAGCAAGAGATTTGGCTAAGTTGGAACAGGACCGCGATACCTGAATACTCCTTGCTGGTCATTCATTCTGCAATCCACAATCTGTCAAAAGGGCCACAGAAAGGTATGTGAGTAATGCACATGGTGTTAACCTTGGAAGGCGAAGAAGAAGAGAGTCCTGGAAGCTGGGGGACAAGGACGAGTATACTATACGCGAACACTTCCCAAATAGGAAGGGACTGACATCAAAAGTTCAATGTTTCCATATTTTCATTCAAATACTTTCCTTCTCTTGTCGTCTCGATCTTTCTTATTCCTACCACTTTGCCTCCCTAGTCTTGTATCCTTTGCTATTCTAGCAAGACTCCCTCCTTCAACTAACAAGTACAAAACAACACATCGAGAAGCCAAGGATGACTTCTTTTCTAACAGCTCTGAATGTGTCCCTTCTGGATAGAAGGAGTACGCAACAATCCGAGTCCAGAAATCGAATCAAGCAAGAGCATTTGTTTCCAACATGGCAAGTCCAACCACGTTGGAATAGCGTAGCGCAATTCCTGGAAGCTGATCAGCAAGGCCTGCGAAAGCTCCCAAGCATTATGGAGCCGGACGAACAGAAGCAAGGACATCCTCGGACAGGTGACCTTCCCATATATCCATGGCAATAGATGCGAGAATCCTTGGAGACCCCAAACGGTCCAGTCCTTGGAGAGTGGTCCAGGTAGAGTCAGGCCTTCCAGGGTGGGTCCGGAGAGTAATCTGATATCTGTCGTGTAGTCGTGGCCGACTCATGAATTTCCTGCCTGGTAATAACGAAAGAAAAGGATCCACTATCTGGCTTCATGTACGGAAAGTGTCCAACGGAATGATCCGCGCTCAAAACGGCTTGAGCACTGATTCGAACAAGATAAAACAAAAAAGACAACCCCAGGATTCCACCAGCCCCTAAATGATCACCGCCAAGACGCACAGCTTACGCCGTAACGGAACCCGCAACAGGCCAGAAGTCACCCAACCCCGTTTTCAAACTTCCTGCATCTCCTGATCGGAGGAGGGTGATATCTCAGTTCCTAGTGAGTAGGGATTGCCATAGAGGTAAGCGGGGGATTCTGCCATTGGCGCGAATTCATCTGCTAATCGGGTGGGTGTAAATCGTCGTGTTTGGTCGTATGTCATCCAGCGGGTGAACTAGTTAGATGGTCAGTTTTAAATGTGCTTTAGGAGGCATAGGGGCTAACAGACAGTTGCAATCCGCACTCCCAACCAAAGACATCGATGTCTTCTAGGAATCACTGTTGAATGTTCTTCTATCGATGGTCTGTTGTCTTCTGTAGGAGCACCCTCGAAGAAATCTTCTGGGTAGTAAAGCCTGCTCCATGCCTGTCCTCTGATTAAAAAGTCCTCCGGTAGCTGATGTGCACTTGAGTCGTCAAGAAGCGGGAATGATTCGTCTTCGATTTTTGAAATGATCGTATCGGGATGGAACAAAGTGTTCAGATAATTCGCAAGTAGCGACCACGGAACCAGCGGTTCTAGTCGTTGTATAGCAGCTGGGTTGAGTGTGAGACACCATACAAATGCCATAGAGATATGCACACTCGGGTATATGCTTGGATCACCGATTTGGCCTAACATGACGATCAATGTGTGAAACGCGAGAGAGCTTGCCCGGAATGTAAGCTGAGACGAAAGATCACTGTATGCGGTATGGATGGATGCACAAGAGGCACTAGGCGCGCTAGATGCCCACTTCATTGCCGTCAGGCGATCTTCTGCCGTAGGATTGCGCAACTTCAATATAAAATCCTTTTCCATCACTCCATGTTTACTCCCATATTGAAGTATTGCAGAGATATTGCAAGACGTAAGTTGCACACCTTGCTGCCCATGTCGGCCTACCCGGCCAATTTCCTTACGTAGAGTATAAAGAAACACATTCGCCCGAGCAACGAAATCCTCAACCGGAGTTTGCATGAAAAGCGCACCGTGAGTAGTCACGAACGAAGTAATCAAACCCAGACTTCCCTTCTGAACCGGCACATTCATAAGAGGAGTGACTAGCTGGATCATGCTATCGAGAGCATTAGGGAATGCGCGAACGCTGACCAGTGCTTTCGTGTAGTGAAAAAACTGCTGGAGAACGTCCGGACGCGCCAAAATGGCAAGATGATGCTGGATACGGCCATTTTCTGGACTTCGCTCTGCGTCTTGGTTATACCAATACCTCGAAACCCCTGCCCAGAGTTCACGGTCCTTCTTATCGAATTCTTCCACGGCCATTCGGTACCGTGCTAAGTCACCCAGACACTCGATCCAAGTCTCTTTAAAATATGGCACGCTTTCTAGCAGCAACGTTATCATTGAATATGAGAGGTAGATGAAGTCGAGCATATACTCCAGCGATCCGGGAAGTTTCTGGCGCAAAAGCTCTAAGAATGAATGCACTCCGTATCGCCACATACGCGCCGGCATCGCATACTTCTGAGCCAATTCTTTAAGAACAGGACCAGCCGACGGATGTTGGGAGGCGAGAAAGAAGTCGTGATGTTCATAGAGTAGTGTTCGGTGTAACGAGACGAACGTCTGCCACTGAGCTTGTGATAGTTCGTCCTTTGATTGCGCCTGTTGCCTGTCGATTTCAATGCACTTCTTTTCCACCATAACAAGTCCGGTGTAAATACCCCGCACCTCATTGATCAGTTGCTCCTCACTGATAGTGTGGGTCTCTGGTTGCCTGAACATTCCATGATGCTTTGCTTCCTGGGTGACTGCGCCTTCCTCCACTGTTTCCCCATTTTGATTTATTATTTGATCCTTTCTCGTCTGCCAAGATTCTTGCGTTTCCATTTGCGTTTGCGTGGCGTGAGGGATATTCTGAACCCCAACAGCATTCTGGCTGTGCACAGCAATAGGTGTTGGATGTGATCTTTGCAATTCTGAATGTGCCGCAGAGCTTTGAGCTAACTGCAATTCCTCTTCCTGCCTGGTTGCACTGATCTCAATTTTTGGATCTGCTGGGCGTTCATTTATACATTGAGGCACGCTGGATTTTAGCTGCTGAGAAGCCGATCCCGACAACCGCCGAGGCTCCCGAAGGGCCCGGAAGCTGTCCAGGCGACGAGATTTGCCAACATGGCCTACACTGGTGCAAGCGGGGCTTCTCATCACTCTCATGCCGTGGCTACTAAGGGGGTCCATAGTGCAATCATCTGCTAGGACGCCAGTAGATTTTGGTCGAACACTGGATATTGGCGAGGTGGCCGAGCAGCGACCATGGGTACCCATTGATTCAGATATGGGTTCTTCTGGCAATAGTCTTTTCATAGATCGCCTGTATGAACAGTCAAAAGATATGTAAGCAACAAAAGCTTGGAAGGTTGCAATATACCTATGTGACACGTCGCTACGGACAAGTCTGTCTGAGGGCCTTGTTTTGCCATCTAACAGACTGCAAAAATTTCGCCTAGTCAGTATTGCCTCCTTACGGCACATTGGCTTGTCGCCCATTTCAGTCATCTAGGGAGAATTAGCTTATCGTTTGAGCCTTCGGAGTGGCGAACGCACCCGGTATGAAAAAAGAGAGCCCAATCTCCCATACTGTCATGAAGATTGGGCAAAGATATAGAAGAGGGGAACCTTTAAATAATCTATATTAAAAATCGATCAGGTAGAACTTGCGAAGAACAATGCAAAATCTAAAATCCAAAGGCATCCATGTGGGCAACTGCTGGGTGTTTTGGCCCCGTGCCGATCTGTTGTAACTTACAGTATTATACTTACGTATTTACCATACGACCTAACCGGTTGCCTTGTTGTTTTGGTATTTCTATCGCTTTCTTCCTTCTCCCCCTTTTCTCCGATTTTCATGCAGCTGTGGAACGTTCGAACATCTTGAAGTATTCCATGGTCCCTGATGCCAAGGTCATTTTTCCGTAATCGCGCCTGTCAAGAGACAATAGCCGCCCTGAGCTCAATCCCCCCTCCCCCGGATCTATATACTCCGCCTCACTTTTTCCTATGCAGTACTTGCCAAAACCTCATTATGATCTGCAAGAAATCCAAGAAATACGTTCTGTTTGAAACAGCTGATCACTCAAATATTTGACAGCCTTACCCTAACGGCTGTAGGGCTCAAGTCTACCCCGTCATTGCCCAACAGCATCCCAATTGTCTCCCAATACATCCAGATGTGACGTGCATCGTCTCTAATGATTTGGGAAAGCCTTCGGGTCAATGAATGACCTTTTACCCTTGCAGCCTGGGGCATTGATTTCTCCGTCACCGCTCTTTTGGCTACTATCACTGAATTCAAACCACACCGGTTCTTTTTGGCCAAGCTTCAGGGATCATGGCGTTTTTGGCCAAAGGACCTTTGCTTTTCTCCCAGTGGCCCACCTGAGCACTGGGATGACCCCGGCTCATTACGAAGTGAAGATTCCCGCTTTTCCTCTTCTGTTCACCCTAGAACGAGGC